ATTTGGGTAACTCGGGAACTGAGAAAGCTGGGAACCTGGGATTTCAAGGGAATGGTCCTTGTCCAAATATAGCGTAGATAATTAACTTCCCGAAATTCGGGGACCAGTATGTACAAGAGCTTTCTAACTGGCGGAATTTTGAGTGATCTTTTTGCAGTACGAGACACTGCAAAAACGTATGATCGCATGGGCCTGCCAGTGCGCGTCGATTTATTTACTAGCTCGTTTTCTTTGAAGCTATACACATAGCATGTGCAGTCATATTTCTTCAAACACTGGCGTGTGCAATCATGTTCATCCGCGAGACTGTTCCAACTCTCACCGGCTTGTTGTTTTCGTTTTCTATAGTAATCACGCAGATAGCCTCAACCGATTTTTCTGATGAACTTAAATTTGTAAATACTCTCTATAAAATTTGAATTTTAGGATTCTTATGATCGCAGTTACGAGGACGGAGGTGCAAAGAGTGCAGGAAGTGAACAGGATAAAACAGGTGGATCCGACACTTCTGTTAGTTTTTTCAGTTCGTTGTAGTACTTTTAAATTTTTTAACTCTTCGGGACCAATTAGCAACCTGTAAAAACAGAAAGTCATTAACTGTTTTGGTAGCAGATGGTTGTTGGCTCGCGTTGACATTTGCACTACTTTTCATTTTCTTCTCCGCTCATAAAGATACAAGTTGCGGAGGGGGTTGCCTCATTGAGTCAAGAGATGGTGCTGCTTTCAAAAAGATTACGTTTACTGCAACATCTCACAGCCTTTAGGCAAGCCAATCTGGCAAGAAATGTCTGATGTTACTAGTTCGCAAGCATCAGTTTATAACATTGTTTGTATTTTCAGGATTTTTATAATCATGCCGAAAGCGGAATGCAAGAAAAGATGAGACGTGTAAGACCGCTGGTATGTTGTCTAATAATTTTTATTTCGACTCTGAATCCGTGCTACTGTATATGCCCTCTGATTCGACAGAGAACTCGAGAAGAATGTTTTCTTGCTACTAAGGTCGGACATCGGGAAGCTACAACTGCACCGCTAACTTCAATAAAATTGCATTTGCTCCTGTATGCTGTTACGTTTTAAAATTGCGTAACATCTAGCTGACTGCCCTTCGTTTCCTCATACCACTCCGTTTTTCATCCGTAGCTGGTTGCCACTTTTTTTTATTCCATTGCTACAGGCAGTCATCACTTTGCGTGTTGTGGCTTCTTGAGGAGAACGCCTACAAAAAATCGGACCTGTTTTCATACGTTTATGCTTAAAGCATCACAGACGCCACGCGTTGTCAGCCAGTGCAAGTTTTATGTATCGCCGGTGCTCTCAAAAAGTCAAACCCGAAAGAGAGTGTCCATTTCATCAGTATTTCTAAGTACGTCTGTCTCTCACAGAAAGCCAATACGGAGGCAAAAAAGGTTTTGAAAACTTAAAATTTAATCATGGAAAACATGCTCAAAGAGGTCTGTGATGATAGAATAGTAGGTAAGGGATCAGACTACGTTTCATTTGTAAGAAAACATGTTTGGCTGAAGCCTGTATTTCATCCATTAACTATAAACACAAACCGAGCCTAGTATGTGAGTAGGACCAGGGATCAGCAGTACAGCCTCCTATCATTAGTACAATCTCCTCTCATAAAATGCCATTTAGGGTGTAGCGAATGTCATGGATAGCACATGAAGGGGTAGTGTTATCATATCTCTAAACCTGTTACTGCACTGAAAGTTGGAAAAATTTTACAGCGTCCTTTTTGCTATGATGAAGAGTTGGACGGAGTGGCGGAAAGCCTACAGAGCTCGAACGGATCGCACGACGATGATGACACGAGGGCAAGCACAGCAAAGGGTCTAGAAACCCCGGTAGCACGATCACCAGCTCGCACTAACGATTGGACCGAGCCCAAGGACTTTAAGGGAGTCAGCAGTCGCAGTACCTCGGAGAGCGATTCTGATGTAAGTTTCTTCGATCCTCATTTCTAGAAATCGACCCTTTACCAATCGAAGACGCTCAGCAGCGAAGCAACGAATAACAAAAATGACCCTTCGTTGTGTCTTGCTCTGCATGGGGGCTAATAAACGCAACTTCGCCAGCCTAACAAAACCAGTGGACGCGTATTTCTCCAGCGGTTTTCTTGTTTAAGTAACAGTTCAATACGCATATGTGTAACGTATGTGTGCGAGCCAGCCTCATACTTAAATGTAAGGTATGTGATTTTAAAATTATATACTTTTTTAAAGTTGTGATTCAGGAATGCGTTTTTTCTATTTTTCTCTCTCCTTTTTATGCGTTTTTTGCAGCTATGCAATGCAAAAACGCATATTGTCGAGGGGTTGTCTGTGT